CATTTTTAAGTCTATCATAACGTTACCATTCACATTCATGAACTCAAGTCACACACAATACGGAAGCATACCCTGGTTTTACTTTAAATTGGATCATCAATTACAAAATGATCATCATTCTGTATTGAAAAAGACTTGAATTAGCTATTGAGACCATACAGTCATTAGTACAATCTTTACTGAGGTAATAGATATTAATTTCCCATATTCTCTCCAATTCAACTTCCTTTGTGGCTTCAATTGTTCAGCCCCAAGGGTTGCCAAGTGAATTTAGTATGCCTATATGCAATGTATTTTTAATAAGATCATCTAACATCTGGACACACCGTTCCCAGGACACGTCCCCTCACATGAGGGTGGATGGAGGCGGGCTGCAGGAGGAATGGTGCAGGAGGAACTCTGTGTTTGTGGATAAACAGACACAAATGAAGCAGAATATATACAGTTCACAGTAAGAGGCTTATCCAGATTATGTTAGAGTTTTTATCCAGAATGCAGAGTGAATGTAAATGCAGATGAGAGTGCTGAATAGGACGATGAGAGCTCTCCCAGGCATGGACGCTGCTTTTTGAAGTTCTGCAAGCTTGTGGAGAAGCAGTACACACCTCAGGCCTGCTGAGAGATGAAAGATCAGCCTTTTTGTCTCTGACTTTTCCCCTTTGTGGTTTGTGGTTGAATAGTCTTTTTTGTTTAGAAACGTTCCTAAATAATTGAAATGTCCCGGGAGTACCAAAGGTGCAGTCATGATAAGAGCTGTTTGATTCCTCTAGATGAAATGAAAGGAGCTTCAATGCTTCCTTTGTTATTTCCTTTAGCATAAGATACACCAGACCATCCTCTATGAAAGGATGTCATTATCAGGTGTATATAACATAAAGCAAGCTTTTAATAAACTAAAGCTTATAACAAAAACAGGGGGAAGGTAGAAGAAAACAAAGAAAAACTGATCGAGCACAATAATAATAATAATAATAATAACAACAATAATAGCTTAGATTTATATAGCGCCTTTCATGGAACCCAAGGTCGCTTTACAAGGAAGAACAGGGCAAAACAAACATAACAAAACAAAAGGCAATCAGACAACCAGTCAGACAGACAAAAACCACAAATAGATTAGGGGCCAAAGGCCTTGGTGAACAGATGGGTCGAGGGCCCTTTTGAAGGCGTCAAGCGTGGAGATGTTGCGGATCTCCGCAGGGAGAGCGTTCCAGAGGGTGGGGGCTGCCACACTGAAGGCTCTGTCCCCGGAGGTTCGCAGTTGGTGCGGGGGTGGTAAGCAGTCCAGAGTCTGAAGACCGCAGGTTCCGGGGTGGGGCATGTGGGTGAAGGATGTCCGATAGGTACTGGGGGTCATGGGCATGGAGGGACTTTGTAGGTGATGTGGGACTTGACCAGCAACCAGTGGAGGTGGATGAAGGTGGGAGTGATGTGCTGCCACGGCTTTGTATGTGTGAGTACCCTAGCAGCACAGTTTTGGACATACTGGAGCCTGTCCAGGGTTTTGTTGGGAACCCCAAACAGGAGACCATTGCAGTAGTCCAAGCGGGAGGTGACAAACGCATGGACTAGGGCTTCGGCAACCGACTCCGAGAGTGACGGTCGGTGGTCGTGGGAGTGGAAGGAGAGGGTGGAGTCGAGGATGACACCCAGGTCGGGGGTGAATTTGAGCCATTGATGGAGACAAACTGTTTCCTGTTACGGTAGGTCCACACAGCAGCTTTAAAAAAATCTTCCAACGCTTCCCACGCTTCTCTGCCCATTGACTTTGAATGGGAGTGACGTCACTTTGCCTCGGCTTTTCGCCGCGAACTGCATTCTGGGGAAGCGAGGCGAAGATTTACAGGATTTAACAGGATTTTTCAGGATTCAAAGCTTGAGCAATGTTCAACTTTTGAAGCTGAGCCTGGAAGCGTCAGCCAATCAAAATCCGCGTTTATGCAAATCTGGACAGTAACAAGCGCTAGCCATAGTAGCCAATCAAACCGCGTGCAAGCTGGGAGAGCCAGACCTGCAGGTTTCATTTCCCTCATATTGCCCAAACGAGAAATTACGGTAAGCAAAATCACCCAGTTCCTTTACCGACCCCAGAACTATTTACCGGGAATACAAACCCGAAGGAACCAGGCATGGAGGGAGGTGGGCAGAGACAGTGGGTGAAACTGGTAAGGTTTTCGCCTGTTTGGGGGAGTTTATACTATATACAGGACTGTCCTCAGAAAAATTAGAAATATTGTGAATAAAGTTCTTTATTTTCTGTAATGCAATTAAAAAAAACAAAAATGTTCCCAATACATTCTGGATTCATTACAAATCAACATCTGAAATATTGCAAAGCCTTTTATTATTTAGTAATATTGCTGATTATGGCATACAGCTTTAAGAAAAACTCAAATATATCACTATTCTCTAAATATTAGAAAATCATGAAAAAGTATCTAGTAAGGGTGTTCAAACGAAATCACTGTGAATCGTCTAATTAACATCGAAACACCTGCAAGGGTTTTCCTGAGCCCTTGAAAAACACTCAGCTTTGGTTTCAGTAAAAACTAAATCAGACAGTATGGGGAAGACTGCTGATCTGACTGGCTGTCCAGAGGACCGTTCATTGACACCCTCCATCAGGAAGGGTAAGACACAAAAAAGAAATTTCTCCAAGAGCAAGCGGTCACAGAGTGCAGTTTCAAAAGCCACATCCACCAAAAGTCTGTTGGAAGGGGGAAAATGTGGCAGGAAACGCTGCACAACCAAGAGAGATGACCGCAGCCTTAAACAGCAATTGTGAAGAAGAGTCGCGCTTCCCAGAATTTGGGGGGAGCTTCAAAGACAGTGGAGCTGAAGGCTGGAGTCCCAGGTATCAAAAGTCACTGTTCACAGACGTGTCCGGGAATGGGGCCTAACAATAGCCTATTCCCATGGTCAAGCCCACTTCTGAACTCAAAGACAACGGAAGAGGCGTCTGACTTGGGCTAGGAAAAGAAGCACTGACAGTGGCAGCGAGTGGTCCAAAAGTCCTCTTTTTCAGAACGAAAAGGCAAGTTTGTATTTCATTTTGGAAAGTCAAGGCGCCAGAGTGCTGGAGAAAAGCTGGAGAGGAGCAAAAATCCAAGTGGCTTGAAATCCCAGTGTGAAGTTCGCCACAGTCAGCGATGGTTTGGGGAGCCATGTCAGCTGCCTGGTGTTGGTCCCACTGTGGTTTCATCCAAAGCCCAGAGTAACAATTGCAGCTGTGTAACCAAGAGATTTTAGAGCACTACATGCTTCCGTCTGCTGAAAAAGCTCTTATGGAGGAGAGGAATTCATTTTCCCAGCATGATCTGGCACCTGCCCACAGTGGCCAAAACCCATCAGTAACTGGTGTACTGACGGCATGGCCATTACTAGTCCCTCCGATTGGCCCTGGCAAATTCCCTCTGACCTGAAGCGCGGCCATACGAGAATCATGTGGGGTATTGGTGAAGAAAGAAGCTGAAAGACACCAGGACAGCAACAATGCTAATCGAGCTAAAAGGCCGCTATTGAAGGCATCCTGGACATCCATAACACCACCTCAGCATATGGCCACAGGTCCTGATTGGCGCTCCATGCCACGCGATTTGATCGGCAGTAATCCCCGTGGCAAAAAGGAATTGCAAACTACGTACTCGAGTGCATTTAATGGAGCATTTTCAAATTGTTTGATTTGTGTTTATGCCTGTTATAAATCTTTTTTTTTACTTGGTCTGAGGAAGCTATTGCTACATTTTTTGAGATACGGAGTTTTTGAGTTTTCTTAAAGTGTAATGCATAATCAACCAATATTAACATATAAAAGGGCTTGGCAATATTTGCAGTTGATTTGTAATAGAAATGCCAGAATGTATACATGTTTTGTTTATTTAATTTTGCATTACAGAAAATAAAGAACTTTATCACATATTAGCTAATTTTCTGAAGAGCAGTCCTGTATATAATGGCTCACCATAAGATCCGCCGTTTTTTTTGCTTTGTACTGCCGGGGCGCGGGAGATTCATGTGATTGGTTGTTGGTCCGCGTTGCTCGTGAAAAATTCCGAAAGCTCCTGAAGACAGCACCCCCAGCTCCAAAAGATTTTCAGGATTTTTTCAAAAAGGCCTAGCTTGCTGTGTGGACGTACGCGTTTGGAGGTAGGGATGTGAAGGCCGAACGCGGGGCTGTGCGCAGTAAATACGCTAAGAGGGCCAGGGGCCGCGGTCCTAGACTTTTGGAGGCCCTAAAAGGCGAGCCTTTGGGCTTGGGGGCCGCCCCTGCCACTCTAGCGCGTTCTCAGCTAAACAGCACGGAACCAACTTTTGTCTTATGATGTAGCATAAGGCAGCACATATGTGTAAAAATAAGCATGTAACACAGCAGGTGGACCAAACCCTCCTCTAGGGGGTCAACCTCCGTCACGGGGTTTCGGGGGCATGTTCCCCCCGGGAGAGATTTTTTTTTAAATTTTATTGAAGTTAAAGCATCAAAAATCTGGTGGCAGCTTTGAAGAGAAAAATTAAGAGATCTAAGTGGATACATCTCTCCAACAGGGCACCCATACTGAATAGCAGAAACTGTAAACAGATTTTTCTTTATGGATATCTTCACAAATCACTAAAGGTGACTCTATAATAATAAATAAAACATGGGGACTTTTATAGCGGAATTTTCATGAAACTCAAAGAAGCGCTTTGACAGATGAATTTAAGAAAACACAACAAAAAACAAAAGACAAAAGAAATACAAAAAGAGATATAACCAAAAAAAGCAGAAAAAAAACGGGGGAGTGGGGTGTCAGTGGTTGAATGCAGTGTTGAAGGCACATGGGTTTTGAGTGATGTTTTGAATGCTGTGAGGGAGGAAGAATCTCTGATGGATTGGGGTAAGGATGTTCCAGAGGGTGGGTGGCAGCAACGGAGAAGGCTCATGTCGCAGACCTTGAGGTTTGGTCGCGGGTGGAGGACAGGAAGGATTGGCAGTGCAGAGCGGAGGGAGCGAGTGGGAGTGTGTCTTGTGGAGGAGGGTCAGTCAGGTAGGAATGGGAGCCAGGTATTGGGAGGGCTTTGTAAATGTCATCCAGGAGGATCTTGTGGCTGAATTCTCTGGGGGATGAGCCATTTGGGGAGGGCTTGAGAAGCGACGGTGTGTAAATGTGTTCACTGGGTGTGGGTGAGTAGAGCCGGGCGGGCGGAGTCTGGATATATTGAAGTTTGTTGAGGATTTTTGCAGGTGAAGCCATAAAGAACCTTTGCAATAGTCGCTGCTGAGGGAGAAGCTGTGTGGTAGTGGTTAAAGGCTGCTGTAAATGTTGATCTATTTTGGCTTGAAAAAAATTGAGAAAAGAGCTGGCATTTGTCTGCTGTGAATGACTGAGTGGTGGTGTCCAGGGGGGCTGCAGGATTTGTTAATTGTCGGACCCCGATAGAGTGTTTTGGGGTTTCCGGAGGCCAGAGTGGATTAACTGAGAGTAAGTAGGTGGTGGCGGGCATGGGAGACGGGCCATCT